CACCAGAGGAATTTTGGTAGTAACCAAGTTGAAATTTAGTTCTAACTGTGAAGTCAGAAGGAAAATTCCTTATCATCTCCCCAGGCCAGAGACAACCCACACCTCAGCACTGGACATCTTCTACAGGGCCTGAACAGCCCTGCATCCCCTAATGGTGCTGCTGATGCTCAGCATTTCAGACATGGACGGATCACTCCTCCAAGTAAACTGCCTTTTCCCTCAAGATCTCTTGTCCAAACACACAACTTCTCACACAACCTCTCAGCCCCTGAAGCCTGGTGAAGGGTCAGTCCAAAACAGAAGGACTGCACCATCATCTCAAGTTTTATGCAGAAGTAGAATTAAGTTGAAAGCAGCACATTTTTTATATACACACATAAACCACAGAGCATTGCTGCAACCTCAGCTCTTACCACACCATGATAGTCACTTTCATTATTAGTGTAATACATTAGAACAGGAAATACTAGAGAAACATTTACTTTACTGTTACTTGCTCCCTTACACGTGCCCAGCTAATGACCTTTTTATTTACACACACATCTCCTGCTGTCATCAACAGAAGTTGTGCAGGAAAGCCACAGGCAAAAACTGAACAAGTTTTGCTCAGAGTAATTTATATACAATAGAAAGGCATCTGTATATGTACACAGGTAAAGGCTGATTTAATAAAATGATTGTCTTACTTAAAAATACTTTAATACATATAACTAATTAACGTAGCACTCCAAACCACTCTACAACATCATCAGACATGTCACTTTTAGCATAACTTTGTGGCATACTTTTCATAGATCCACCCTTCTAGGAAGAAGCCATTTACTATTTTGGTTAATGCCTTAAGACATGTTTGATTCTATGCCACTCCAAAAGTCTAGCAGCACTTAAATAACCCACTGCTGCTTGATTATTGATTTTGCATATACTCAGATGCATTCCCTCCTTACTCAAAGTTAACAAACATATGGATCCAAAAAGAGGAAAACCAGATATGCTCAGAGAACACTCAAAGTAACTTCTGACAGTATTTTATTACCTACTGATAATTTCATATTATTTCAGCTAAATCACCCTGTCTTTAATCATTTACTACCCTTTAATTCTGTCCCTCTTCTCCCGTTTCTCAGCACCACAGTCAGAATTAGCAATCCCTGCACATGCAATCTGAGCACCTCTTGTTCCAGCACTTACCCTGACAGAATACTGTGTTACACTATTTTATCTAAATAGATTAAAACTGGTCACTGGGAAATACACTTTCTACAAGTACAAGAGCGTGTCCAAGAGTACGTGAAGTACTTCTGAGCATGAATTACAAGAGCACTCTGCACAAAATTGCAAACCTGCAATAAAACCGATGATTGGAATTTTGTTCAGCTTGTGGAAAATGGGGATGCTGGGCTGGGCCCAGGATCACACCCTGGGCTGCAGTTGAGGATTCAAGAGGAGTTGCACAGAATGAGTTTATTTTTATTATTTTTCTCTTTACTGGGTATTATCATCCTATTGCAGGGGTTCCATACTGTTGTCTCCTTATCACAACAGTTCCATACCTTCTTGGTGTTTCTCATGGGCAGCTCCTCAGAGCACTGACTCTTTCCTCTTCCCAAAGCAGCCACTGACTCCAGTTCCCTTCTCACCCAGCCACCCCACTCTTTTATAGCATCTGCTTCTCATTGCTTACAGCTGTGGCCTGGTAAAGTCAGGCCTGTTCCTGATCTTTGATAATTGGCCCAGCTGCAACTCCTTAGGGCTAAGATCACTTTCTACACTATCTTTATTTTCTTACATTCTATCCCCCCTACAGCTGGGGTTTAGATACCACTAGACCCAGTGTGAGCTCCAGTTCAGTGACCGATTCTTTCAGACAAGAAGAGCAAGCTTTGAACACTCAGCCTGGGATGTATCTCACCTCAGCATGGATTCCGTCCTTCATGGAGGAGATTAAGTCACTTTTGCTAGTAATTCTACAGTTTAGACAATTGCCCTGCAGTTTTTTAGGTTCCCATTGCAAAATTTTAACATCCATTTTCTAATGGTATATCCAGCTTCACATGTTCATACATGTATGAGTGAGAAAATTCAAAAACTGGTCTTGCCTTCAACAGCTTGTCCTTAATCACAAGAGCTTTATTTTATGAATGATTGGCCAGTTGATTATTCTTCTTTCAAATGCATATCATAAACAGCTTACTGAAAGGAAACTAAATAAAACCATTGGGACCTACCAAACAAATGCCACTGTGTCCCCACACCAATTCCCCTTAAAACTCTTCAACTGGAAATCAACTATTCTCAAAGCTAGTAGAAATTAGAAAAAAAACCCATATTTTTTCTGCTTGGACAATAAAGACCACATGGAGGTACAATGCTGACACAGTGCTGTTGAAGCTCTCTTTCATAATAAAAACTTATATTATTAAACCTATAGAGTACAGAGGTGGACCCTAATAATGTTACAAAGCCCATGTTAAATCTGCCTGGGATCCATCTGCACATATCTATTTATAAAGTCACCACAGTTTGCCAAGAACAATGGCTAATGACACCCAGAAAAACAGATTTTAAACCTAGGTACCTGTAATTAAATTGTGCAAGCAATATTTGTCTGTAAATTTGTAAACCTGACTGGTGCACAATGTGTTAAATGTCAGTGCAGATCCATAGATGAGCACATTTCTTAGAAACCTGCCTTTTCATTGCACTGCTCTTGAGGGAGAGCATCCACAGCTTTCAATATAGCATTACAATTTGGAAAAAAATATCTTGTTAAAAACCAAACCATACTAAAACTTTCTCAAACAGACCTTAAAGTTAAAAGGAAGGAAATCGAATTCTTTATAAACAGCATGAGAGCTACTTCAAAATGCTCTGTCCATTCCTCTATAAGAAAGGAAACCAGAATGCAAGGAAAGGATCCACAATAAAGAGAGCAAATAACTATACCACATTCCCTGAATATAACAGGTTAGTGGAATTGAAGTGTTATCCTGCAGAGAATGGAAATTCACTCCAAGGGGAAACAGAAGGGAAAAGGTGTCTGACAGGTAAAATACAAGTTGGATACTAGGAAGGCAAAAAGCAAGAGCAGATAGCAAAGGCCACAAAACCAAATAACAATAAAGCCTCTTTGCATATCAGAAGCAGGGAATCATTGGATTTGCTAGAGCTGGGATTGAATAGAGCACTTGAAGAAGATAAGGGCATTGCAGACAATCCAAACTATGTCTTTTCACCAGCCTTTGCTATGGAAAGTGTTGGGAAAACACATCCCCGACTTCTCTGATAAAGTGAGTGACATTTCTTCAAACTGAAAAATCAAAACGGGGTGAGGAAACACAATCAATTGAAAGCAATAAATGATGAGGGATGAGCTCCTGTCCCACTCCCATCGATGGGTCTTTTACCATTGATTTTAGCACTGTCAGGATTTCACTTCAGGACTGAACAGAAACAGTTTCAAAACATGAAAAGGCTGAGCTGGCCATCATAGGGGATTGTTCAAGTTGCAGCAGTGGTCACAAAAACCAAGCAAAATCAGAGAATAGAAAAGAACAAAAAAGGTACAGGAGGAAATTCTATCTTTTTAGTCAATATCCAATCTCTTCTGGAGTATATATTCAGCTTAGGATTCCTGCTCTAAACCAATGACAGTGGTATTTGACAAAAGTTAGACAACAATCAAAAATGATTATGGAAGCAAGTTTTAAAAGCTGGAAAGAACCAGGAATTTGAGTTAGCGAAGAGATGGATAAGAGGAAACACAGTAGAGCTGCAAAGAATGCTATGAGATACCAGCAAATAGGATGCTCTTTAATTTAAACTTTCTCCCAGTACTGGAGAAAAGAGAAACTCGGGGCAATAAAAAGTTACCAAGTTAGAAATAAAACAAACAAACAAACAAACAAAAAATTACTGCATAAACCACAAAAATGTTTAATTAATTCACAAGGATTTCTGTGTTATAATAGCAAAGAATATTCCTTGGTGCCTTTGATATTGCTTTCCTTTCTTGCACAACCCATACAAAGAAATTAGTGGCATGGCAATAAACATAAATTTGCAGAGCTCATTTAGGAGAATGTGCTTTCCTTTTCTTCTTGCCCTAATGCATGAAACCTTTTAGGCTGGATATGAGCCAGGAAGGAAGGGGAGGTAAACTGAGGCACGGAGAATGGCTGAGGCAAGGATGAGGACAGCCAGGAGATGCCTCCAGCACTGTTCTGTGCCCCATCCTGCACATGTAACACTGGGGCTGGGTGATGGCTCAAACCTGCCAGCTCCTGGCTCTGGATATATTGGGTCCCACTCTAGAATTAAGACAGAAACACTAAACTATCAGTGTGTGAAATTTGTGACTTAAATTACAAGGTAGAGCCATCCAAGGAGCCTCTTGCATAATTCATGACACTTGAGAACTTCACATATAAATCAAATAGACGGAAAGTCTATCATTTCTGCTCTGTTTAGCACAGATCCACACACAACTTGGGTAATGGCTGCACAAACAAGCTCTCTAGAAAATACAATATTGCAGACATGCTCTTCACAATACTAATTCACACAGTAAATTTTGTACAGGACCATTCAAGTAATACTTTCATTAAAACTGCTTGTGTCAAAAACACAGAGGTCATAAAAATAATCAAATGAGTCTGGTTAGGGTTTTTTCGTTGCTTTCTTTGGCCCTGAAAATGAATGCTTACAAACACTCATGTGCAATGTTTTTCCATATTGGACTTAATTAAAATTTATGCTGTGATTCATCGGCTGGCTATTAATCATTTTGTCTAACACCACTGAAAATGAAACTCCAGGTTCTACAAAGCTCCAAAACCAATGAAAACACATTCTCCAGGTTCAACAGCAAACTCTGACAGACTTTCAACCTTAACACGATGCCTGAGCCTGACGCAAACGAAGCGTGTCAAGGGAAAAAACATTATTGATAAACACACACAAAACACAGAGCTTTAGAAAGAGCAGTAACCTTGACTTACTGTGGCTGTGCCGGAGACAGTTTGTGCATTTGTGTCAGCTGCACTCTGTTCAGAGTGTGTCTGAGCAGGAGGGTACATGTTTAACGTGTGCTCTGGAACAGTGCTTTGGCCTGTGTAGTCTGGAGCTGGATGCGGATGTGGGGCTGTGTATTCTGCAGGGATACCGTTCTGAGGTGGAGCAAACTGGGCTGAGGCATAAGGCTGTGCCATTGTGTCAGGAGGTGCTGTAGCTTCCTGATTACCCTGTGGAAATCAAAGGGAAAAGAAAAATAATAATAATAATAATAATAAAGGAAGAAACATGGCGTGAGATAAAATAAGCGAAGGTCCTGCACCCGTAACGCAGAGAGCATCCTGGCCGGAAAAGGGCACAGTGGCTGCTTCTTGAGGAGGATATTTCTTATCTGCATTAAATGCATCCTGCTAACCCTATTAAATATTATTATAATTAGACAAACCAATCGGCTGCTCGCTGGATAATTGTAGGCCAGTCTTTAGGCAGGAAAGGTCAGGGAAATCTGCCTGCACTAATGATGCCTCAGCTCAGACAAGGAAAAGGGACAAAGCCAGTTAATTCCAAAGGTGCCTGAGCACAACTGCCAGCACAGAGCTGGGATAAGCTCAGCCCCCAGTCTGTGATCACTCTGACTGACCATTTACAGAACACAATATAGGTTGTGCAAAATTTGGGTGCATACTGTTAACAAACACTAAAAATACCTATGTGCAATAGTGCCCTGAGATATTCAGAATACTTTGAGATACTCTTCATTGAGCCATTGCATGCCACAAATGTAAAATAGTAATGAGATCTAGTCAAAATATTAAGTATTTGAATCTACAAGTGCATCAGTTCAAAACCTTAAATAACATAAAAGAAAACAATTCTATGTCAAGAGAAATAGATTTAAGAACTTCAAAAGTTTTACATTTGAAGACAACAGTATTTCATTTCCATATCATAGTTAGCCTATAGCATTAATAACACTAGCCTCATATCTTTATAGAGAGATGCATATTTCCATTTGATATAATAAAGAATAGCCAAACCTGTTAATTTATCAATTTAAAAACTTCTGACTAAATGTTTTCCCCACACCAAAAAGCAATAATTCTAGAGGAGGAAATGTACACTGCAATCTTTCTGAACCTATATAAAAAAAAACCAGAATGAGATTTTGCCTGAGACACAATTAGAGGCCATTAGTGCAGGGACTATCCCAACCTCAGGTAAACTAATTTACAAAATAAAATTATCCCACTAATAAGCAAGGAATAGAAAAATACACAGTCAAAAATTTAATTACCTTTCAAACTACTCCATCATTTTCCTACCAACACATGTACAAGCACCTGCCCAAAACTATTGCAGGGATTTTAATCCTACTCATCAGTCCTTGATTTCCCAATTTAAAATAGGGTGGAAGAATAAAAGACATTCTTCTGCACTTTGTACTTAAGGGCATTTACAGCCAATTTCAGCTAATTCAGACATCAGCTCTCTGACCTGAACTCATCCTAAACTCAAGAGCTTTTAACAATTCACACAGGAGTTAAGTCTTGGTGCTCAACAGGCTTAAAAGAGAAAACTGAATTTTCCTTTGTAAGAGGCACTTAGTGTGTCTGAAAAAATTAGAACTTTATATTAGCAATCAAACCCTCTGTAATTTTAATCCCATCTTTGCTGCTGGTTTTATGTATGGCATTGAGCAAGTGGTTTGCATTGTTTCATTCATCCATCTTTAGGAAATCAGTGTCATTTACTGACTTCACAGGGTTAAGTCACTAAGATTTGTTTGTCTATCTGCAATTTAGCAAGGTTAATGTTGCATTGAACTAGTCCTGTTAAATTTCTGTGGAGGCTAAAACCTCTTGTAAATGTGTACTTTTACCCTCTAATATTAAAATGGTCAAGGCTCCTTTCTCATTTCTCTTACCTAATATTTTCACTATTGAAAAATATATTTAAATCCAGATGAAGCAAAACCCAGGAATGACTGGATTACACCAGAGACATTCATTAAATGTTAAAGAAGTACTTTTAAAACTTGTGTGGGAGGCAGCCAACCTTAAATTTTTTAATCAGCTGTTTCAGGAGGGACTTGAGCAAGGGGTGAGAAGGAACAGAAGCAAACCCAGATTCTGCCTCTGTTAGCATTTTCGCTGTGCTGGTTTTGAAGCACAGGAGCTGGTCAGGCTGGTCCTTGAGCCACTGCTTCCTGTCAGATGCTGAACACGCCGCCAGAGCCAGCAGCTGTTCAAAAAGGGCAGCAGTGGCATCAGAGGGACCAAGGGGGGATGTCCAGGTGCATTTCACCAAAAGGGTTTTGTGCCACCTCCAGCCCTGAACCAGATGTTGCTGAGACCCCCCACTGTTCCTCATTAACCTTGACAGCAGTTCCATGAGGACCCCAATTAATATTCAAAGCGTCCACACCTAGTGCTAATTACAGCTCATATTTAATTAAGAGGGTTGAACTTTTCCATTATTTTTACCAGCGACTCCAAACTTTTTAGATTTATCACAAAATGGCAAATTGTGAGGGCAATTTCAGAACCTCCACAATGCTGAGACTCTTCTACCTCTTCCATTAGACTTCTTCAACTAAAGTCTATTAATAACTGAGACCCAATTAAGAAGTAAATAACAAAAGGTCAGGGATTTATCTCTTTTTTTTTTTTTTAACTAACTTGTACATATTCAGAGATTTACAGCCTTGTCATTGAAGAAACCAACCCCACTGTGCTTACAGCAGAAAACTGACAGACAAGATTATCAGTGCAGGCTCTGCAGGTTCATTCAATTGTTGGAAGACAGGGGACATTAAAGAAATTAAACTTGCACATGCTACTGCAGGCCCTAAGTTTAAAATGATAGTGACAATAAATCTGAGATGTTCATCCCTTAAAATAAGTGACTACTGAAGCCTTTCCTAACCTTTAAAATTAGAGTGAATTTATTATTTATAATTAATTCAACAGACAAGGTATTGCAATCTAATATAAAAACCTGTATGCTGAAACAAGTTCTTTACTATTTATTTGGTTAATAATAGCAAAGCAAATTGTTCAAAATACTAATTTCTGTCAAGAACAATGAAGCGTCATCTATCACACATTTGTGCCTACATGTGGTTGATGGAAACTCCAGACTTCACAAGAGATACACTTGAACAGATTTTAAGGAACCAAAAATTGCTTAAATAGAATCACCTAAAATGTTCCTTTGTTGTACTCTTTAAAATACAGTGAAGTGAAATTAATAAAAGAAATAACAAATTCTAATGCATTAAGTTGAAAATATGAAATAGCTCTAAATGCAAGAGGAAATACTGATCCTAAATTAGCCTATGAACTCAGGGTAATTTCAAAGCTGTGCATGACAGTACACAGGCATGGCTTAACCCCACCCAGGCAGGAGGGGCTGAACAGAAGTTGTCCCTTCAGACTCAGTTCCAAGTATCTTTAAGATTAAATGACCCCTTAATGCTCACTTTGTGCATGGTTTTTTAAAAAAGTGGTTGTTGGCAACAGCAAGGAGAACAAAGGATGGCAGACAGTCAGGCTCTGCTAAATGTTCTGGCCCGAGTCTTAATGAAAACCACATTTCAACTGAAAAATATGCTTTACGTGGCAGTGTATAAGATCAAATTTATTGCTTTCTGGTTAAATGTTGAACTCTAAAGAACAAAAAAAAAAAAATTCCAACGATGTAGGTAAGTAAAGATTCTCCTGTTTCATCCATATTATCCCATCTGAACAAAAGCTTAGAATTTAAACTGCTCCTCCTATCTCAGATGACTTTTCAGCATCTCCTCCTCTGAAAAGATTTCATAATTAAGAAATGTATAAAAAGTGTCAAAACATAATAAGGCAAGCATGTTATGTTTGTACACAAAGGAGAGAGCAGAGAAAACATTTCTTAAGCAGTGTTTCTTTTTCTTAAAAACACATTTGGTGCATAAAAATGTATTCAATGAAAACCTTTCTGCTTGCCTGCGTTTTGAAGTCGAACTCACAGTTTATTGTTTGTTTTGCTCTGTTTTCCGTTTGGTGCATTTTGTTTCTTTGGCAAGAGATATTTCACATTTAGAGAAAGCCTCCTGTACTGTAGTTAAATGAGCCAAACTGCATCGTATCCTTAGGGCACAGAAACAAAGAAGAAAAAATGCAACGTTTCTCTGCAAACCTGCTGGTTCTAAGGGCACAGATACATCTAGCAAAAACGCGATTCCCCATAGCTTGCCCTGCTTCAGATTTAAGCATCAATACTCGGCTTAGAAGCCTTGCATGCAGTGGTGCAGCTGTTTATAAGAACTGCCCTGGCTTGACTAAAAACCAAGAGTTTCCAGTAAAAATAAAAGTGAAAATAAAAGTGAAAATACCTGCTGTACCATGGTGCTGCCTCTATTCTCCATACACTTAGCAGCTGCTCTGCTCCCAGGCCATGCAGCGTCTGCCCAAGAGGAGCATCAGCGCTGGCTGGGGGCGTGTGAGCAGCGCAGGGGTGAGGGAGCTGGGGGTGCTGAGGGAGGGGGAGCCCATGCAGGGCTCTGTGCCCTCCCTCCT